CCTTTTTGGCCTCTCTTCTGCATGATTAAATTAGTTTTGTGACATTTCAGTTTCAATAACTATTCTTACATTTAAAAAGTTGTTGAGGGAAACAAAATAAATATGATGTTCAGTGACATTACTTTTAATTATATTGTATTATTATTTTTGTAAAAGTTTATTTTGAATTGACCTTGTGCCCCTTTTGGAAGTTGAGGCTGAGCTGAGGTTCCTGGTTAAGAACCACTGATGCAATGTCATACTACTTGTATTATGATTTATAAAAAATGCATGAATTGTATTTATTTATGCATTTTTTCCCCCCCAAAAGATGTGGGAGCCCTGAGTAATTCTTGCGTAAATGAGCTGCTTTGTGTAATAACCCACTGTTTTTCTTATTGCAGGTATGCATTTGGAGACAATTCTTTACCGTTTACTGGAGAAAATTTCAGACACCCCCTTGGATTGGTATTTAATGTAAAAATTCACCTTGTTGAACACTCACACCATGAGCAAGTTTACCCAAAAGTCTTGAACCTCTCTACAAGACTGTTAGTTTCATTTGTTACCTTTCCAATGAACTGACCATCACTTGTTCGTACATTTTTGTGCAATCAGATCCCAAAGTGCTGATCCCTGAAAGCTGAATTTATACATGTACAGTGGAAGAATGACAGAAGCATGGCAACAGCAACATGCAGTGGCCCCTCCTCCCGTTGGGCACCCCCTTCTACAAGGGGCAGAGAATGCCTTGGGCAGTGCTGCATATGGCATTGTCCTACAGGCAGACCCTGCTTTACAGCAGTCTCAGCACAGCCAGCATGCACAGCAGCACCCGTTGCCAGCTCAGCAGCCTCAGCTGCAGGTGGGAGGTGAAGGTGGCCACAAATGCGGTGCGTGTGGCCATGATATTTCGCACTTGGCCAATCCCCATGAGCACCAGTGCATGGTTAACCAGGACCGTTCTTTCCAGTGCACTCAGTGCATGAAGATCTTCAACCAAGCAACGGATCTTCTAGAGCATCAGTGTGTCCAGGTTGAGCAGAAGCCATTTGTGTGTGGTGTGTGCAAAATGGGATTCTCCCTTCTCACGTCTTTGGCACAACATCATAATGAGCACACCAATGGAAACAATCCAATGAAGTGCTCTATTTGTGAAAAAACATACCGCCCAGACTCCTCCTCTTCTAACCCTCAGCAACCCTCTACTGCTGAGACATCCAGTGATGGGGCAGCCATGGGTTCCTCTTCCTCTACAGCTTTCCAGGGCTCTGACCGTCCATATAAGTGCTCCGTGTGCAATAAGGCATTTCGTCACCTTTCGGAACTCTCACGGCATGAAAGAGTGCACACGGGCGAGAAGCCCTACAAGTGCGACACTTGTGAGAAGACCTTTAGTCAAGCTTCTCATCTGGCGCACCACCAGCGCACTCACAGTGCAGATCGCCCCTATAAATGTGCCGTTTGCGAGAAGACCTTCAAGCACAGGCAGCACCTGGTACGGCACATGTACGCTCACTCTGGCGAGCACCTTTTCAAGTGCAACCTGTGTGAGCTTCATTTCAAGGAGTCGTCCGAACTGCTACACCACCAGTGCCAGCCAGCTGGAGAGCGTCCCTTCCGCTGCGCAGCATGTGGGAAAAGCTTCAAACGGCCCTCGGACCTGAGGCAGCATGAGCGCACCCACTCTGAAGAGCGGCCTTTCCAGTGTGAGGAGTGTCAGATGAGCTTCAAGCAGCAGTACGCACTTGTTCGCCACCGCCGTACGCACAAAAACCCAGCAGATCGCCCTTTCAAGTGCAATCAGTGTGACAAAGGTTTCCTGCAACCTTCCCACCTGCTGTACCACCAGCATGTCCATGGCATCGAGAGTCTGTTCAAATGTGCTGCTTGCCAAAAGGGCTTCAGACAATCCGGGGAACTACTAAGGCACAAGTGTACAGAATCGAACTCTGGATCGAACGCTGTGGAGAAGCCGTACAAGTGCGACGTGTGTGGGAAGGGCTACAAAAAGTCGTCAACGTTACAGAGGCACCAGAACTCCCATTGCACCGAAAAGCCACTGAAGTGCTCGCTCTGTGGCCGCCGCTTCCAGTCCTCGTCTGATTTTGTGCAGCACCGTTGCGACCCTGCTCGGGAGAAGCCGATGAAATGTGAGGACTGCGAGAGGCGCTTTAAGTATTCATCCGAGTTGCAGAGACATCGAAGAGTCCATACAGGAGAGAAACCCTTCAAGTGTCCCACCTGTGACAAGGGATTCAAACAGCGCGAACACTTGGCTAAACATGGCATTGTCCACTCCCGTGAAGCCCAGTTCAAGTGTGTCTGGTGTGGAGAGTGTTTTGGAGAGCTTGGGACCCTTCAAGAACATACAGTTCAACACACTGCAGAAGGAGGGGGCTATCCTGCGTCCTCATGCATAGAGTAGTTACTGTCTGCTGTTGCTCCTTACCGAGCGAAAATACACTCTGCTCGCATTAGCAACACTGCAATTTACTTGCATATATTTAGTGAAATTGTACATTTTATATATCCCACAAGCATTGCAGTACGTGTTGGACTGGTAAGGAACTACATAAAGTGTCAGCTTGTAAAAGTCTTGATGTACCTCTGGGTAGATATTGGCAACAATGCGTTTACTCCACAGACAGAAACTTGCCTCCGTTCTGTACCAGCCACACAGACGAACATAACCACACGCATAAATGGTTGCTACTCAAAAATAAGCTTGTAAAAATGAACAATTTTGTCTCATGTGCAACTCCTCATGCTTAAGACTGGTGTTTCCAACAAAGAAAAAGCTGATCCGTTTTACAAGGAACTAAAGATTTAGTTTTAAATTTAGTTTAGTGCTTTATATCTAAAATTCAGTATATCTAAAACAAGAAGAAAATGCAGTAGTACAGCTATCAGTGACGGCTTTTCCAGAATGACATAAATTGGTATGCAAGATGTTAACAACCTGGATTTGCTTTTTGGTCTTTATACGATTGACCACAACTAGATGTTTCATTGCATTGGTTTTGTTTATTTTTTTTTTTTTTTTCTAATTATTTGGCCTTGTAACTTTTAAATTAACTGCCTTTCTTCCAGTATCTCCATCTCATGCTTCCATGTTAGCTGTGGAACTTGAACACTGTATGGCCATCTGGACAATATACAGTAGTGATTGTATGTATTCGTAATGTATAACTCCCATCACCTAACCCATACTGTAACAGGGTATATGTATGCATGAATAGCCTAAATAATTTATACAGTTTGTTGTAATCTGTCATTAACTTGTAGGCAAAGGACTACACAAAAAAATATTAGCCATTCTTTTTCTCTAGAGCATTTTGACTTGTCTCTAACAATGACGCAATAGTTTGCAAGCAGTTCCAAGAGTAAATTTACAGTAGTACAAAGATTTACAGTTACTTTTTAACTGCCAGGCAACAGAACAACAATGCAGTATTTTTGTTTGCAAATTGCAAACAGATGCTGTTGCGTTAGCTAAACAATGCTGTAGAATTTGTAAAGTTATCTGTACATGGATGTTTTGTATCGCTTCGACATGAGTGCAGTGCTAGGATTTAGTATCTGTTTGTGTATCATCATACTGTAGACTGCATGTGATTGTTTCCTCTTGTGAGGATATGCTGGTTCTGTTTTGGTGGATTATTATTTTGCCACAGACAACTTGTTCTGTTTCTTTGCCACAAATTCTTTCTTTGCTTTCTGCTTTAGAAACAAAATGCCATGAATCAGTTGGTATGTCATTTTGTGCTTTCCTGATTGGATCCGTTAACAGTAGAACCTTTATTTTGGGTTAAAATGCTGAGCCACAGATAGATGTGCAAATTTGGATGCAAATTGCACAGCAGCTTTTGTAATTATAAAAAAATAAAAATTTTAAACAAATTCAAGAGTACAATTACATTACATGTTTAAAAGAATCTAAAAACACAGTATTAAGTAGTAGTGGAGTGTTTTTTTAACTTCGAAAACATCTTAAAATGCAGTGTCTAAATGTCTAAGCATATTGGTTGAATTCATATTAATTATACATTGTATGATCCTAACAGCTTGAATGTAAACATCGCAAACATTTATTTTCCCCTTTCGATGCCACTGTAAGCCTTATTAACATTAATGGCTTGTGTCAGTATTGTTTGTTCTGTTACAGATTTGTGAACTCCTATTTTCATGTGCATTAAATGCAGAGACTGAATGGTGTCGTTGCTTGTGAAGCAATATTTTTGATGTCGAGACCATTAGCGGGTTAAATCAAATAAATTATGTTTTTTGTATCTGAGCAAAAATAGAGGTTATCCCACCATTTAGCATTTCCTCCTGTATGTCACTCAAGCCATCCCTTTAAATGTCTGTGTTTCAGTGGAGAGACTCAAATTGTAAATATGCCATGTGTGTGTGTTTTTTTTCCTTATCACAAAGGTGTGGCATGTCATAACTACAAGGCATTTACAAATTAAATGTTTGTAAACAGCTGTTGTATTATTTGTGAACCAAATGGTAAAATGACTACAGACCACGTTGAACTTTAAGACTGATTTGACTGTAAGAGTGTAGACTCTTCAGTCTAGTGAAATGTTGTTAAAGAGAACAATATAATGGGAACATTAATTAGATATCCTACTGTTGTTAAAGAGAACAATATAATGGGAACATTAATTAGATATCCTACATTTATGTTTTTATTTATTTATTTTTTAACAATTGAAACTTTAACACCTGTTATTGTTACACCACTTTATATTTGTAAAAGGTATCAGACTTTAGTATAACTTGCAGTACAAATTTATGGTATTAATGATGTAATGCGGTATTTGGTACATATACATCTTTCAATCACTACAAACAAATTATAGAAATACAAATAATTGTTAAAGCAGAAAAACTGCTGTTTGGGATTCCACAATTTTAAAATTCAGTTGCGGTTTAATTTCATACGACTCAATTCGAGGACTTGTATTTTGAAAAAGGTACCGGAAGTACATAAAGTATTTCCGGTGACTCCATCTACGCGATCGCAAAAATTGACAGGAGTGCTATCTTAGGGATGATATCCGCCTATCAGTTAGCGGTTCCCTCAATCGCTTTCTGAATCTAATTAGTGGATCACTGGGAGGAATTGGGACACTCCATTTGAAGAGTAATCGAAAATCTGGTGTCTTGTGTGTCGAAGTTGTTGTGGCCAATTAAACCGATCCATAGATATCGCTAGCTTAGTTAGCGCGTTTATCCGGAGGGAACGCTTTTAAAGCGAGACTGCTGAACCGCTGTAATGAATATTATAAGAAACAGATGATCAAACGCTGTTCACGTCCCGAGACAATCGATCAAGTCGAAATTTCGGCTGCTTCACGTTATTTATGCTCTTTTTTTTTTTTTTTTTACCGCGTAGCGACATTCAGCGGGCTTGACAGGTCTGTGCTTCAATTAAATATTTTTCAATCCCCTCCCCTTGCATCACTGTTTATTTAGATGCAAAATACGAGGGCTGCGACAGACAATAATATATTATATTACGACATATATTACGATCCTTTTAAAGCTGTTACTTTGTTTATTTTTACATTTGTTTACAAACGGACACATCTTATTAGGCTGCCTCGACGGGCATCATGAAATCCGGACTTTTAATTATTTAAAAAGCTGGCGGTCTGTCAGAAAATAAGCTGGTTTCTGCAGCGTTTCGGACGCCCATTGCTTTTTGCTTTGAGTGGCGCGAGCGTCAGCGCGAGGTCATGCGTGCCGCTGCTGAGCAGCTGTCAATCACAATTGCTCGCGAGAGATCGCATTGAAGCGGCTTGTTACATTGTTTTACGGTACCACAACACTTTCTGCAGTATTTCACAACAGAGACGGTCGACTTGCCGCTATCGCTTGGAGCGTATCGTAGTAGTAGGTGGAGGGAAGGCGGATTGACTGGCCAAACCCGCCATGCCCGGTCCGGTGAGCAGCAAAGCACGGGTGTATGCTGATGCCAACACTGTGAAGAGCAAGGAGTACTGGGACTATGAAGCACATGTGCCTAGCTGGAGGTACAGAGATGATTAGCCCCTACAGAGATATAGAGATTATTTTAGCATGATTTCCTTGCAAAAAAAAAGTACTGTGGTTGATTGAATGGTACTTGATTGACTAACGTGTAGTAGAGTACATGGTAACCCAGGATACTTAAAAAGCACGGTAGTAGTATGTTGACAAAAAAGTGTCATCATGGTCTTACCACATTACTTATTAAATGGATAAACTATTTTGCACAATTTTATTTATTTTGTGCTTACTGTGTCTTATTCAGCAACCAGGATGACTACCAGCTTGTACGAAAGCTCGGAAGAGGCAAATACAGTGAAGTGTTTGAGGCCATCAACATTAACAGCAACGACAGAGTAGTTGTTAAAATCCTGAAGGTAAGAATGCCTGGTCTCTCATTGCCTGAGCATCAGGTGGAAGCAATTTCTTAAAGGGATAGTTCACCCATAAATTAACATTTTGTCATAATTTATGTCATGTCATTCCAAACCCTATCCAGGCTTTCGAAAGAAAAAATATGATTGTTCTCCATCTCCAATAAACATAGAGCACATTAAATACGGTAAACAGAGGCTAAAACATGCTTGCTTGAAGTTCAGGAGCTGGTGATGTTTGTTATTACGTGGCAAGGATGCACAGTTGAGTTTACCTTATTTAATGTGCTTTATGAATGTGCGCTAATCGATGTGAATAAAAGCTTAAATCTATTTGTCTTATGCTGTGTTTATGTCTCTTTGGAACACTTTGGATGACACCACTCAATTCACATGGATAACTTTTACAGTATCTGTTGATTACATAGACTTCCAGTGGTTGGACAGAAATGATGAGACAATATTAACGTTTTTTTTTTCTCTTTTTTGTAATTTTCATCTTTAGCTGAGCTAACCTTTTATTATTTTTTTCTTTACTCTTGCAGCCTGTTAAGAAGAAGAAGATTAAGCGTGAGATCAAAATTTTGGAGAACTTAAGAGGAGGAACCAACATCATTCGTCTTGTAGACACAGTGAAGGACCCTGTGGTAAATTTAGCTGTAATAGTATATGCAACGGTTTTCTACAGAATGCTGTTTTTGTAAAATTAGTCTTAACTTATTTTAAAATATTACATTATATTATTAGCAGGCCCATACAGAAACCGTGTCTGCAAATTTCTATAGAATTGGATTTTGGATTTTGCTAAATAATTATCATTAAGACTGTAGTACCTTTCAACTCCATTTAACACATTGTATCATATTAAATCAATTACAGAATTGGCAGATTTGTTTTCCAGTCTCCAAAGCATAACTGCTTCTAAATTAGGATTAATTTGTGTCAAAATAGTTAATCAAGGAAACCAACAGGCAGTGTCTGTATTAAGGGTGTAAATCGGATGGTTCGTCACAATATGATATATCTCATACCCAGCGATACGATATTTGCAGATACCTCAAAACATTTTACGATACGATTTCGATACAATTAGATTCGGGGGTATATCGATCGATTTATCGATATTATGTACCTATTTTAAACAACCATCTACATTTTTATTAACTTACAAATGCAACCAAAACATATAACATGAACATTGATCTGAAATTTCCACATTTTGTACTTCAATTGGGACATTCACAACAAAAAATATGCCTACCCTTTTTTTTTTTTTTTTTTTTAATAAT